AATCTGAGAGGTCAACTAATGTGTCTTAGAGACACAGGTAGGGTTATAGGATGTAGGGGTGTTATAGTGTGTGACTCTGGGTGGGATATGAAACCAGGGAGTCTGAGTTTAAAAGACGTCCTGGGGCTTCCCTGGTGGCACAAGTGGTTGGGAGTCCGCCTGCCGATGCAGGGGGCGTGGGTTTGTGCTCCGGTCCGCGAGGATCCCACGTGCCGCGGAGCGGCTGGGCCCGTGAGCCATGGCGTATGGGCCTGCACGTCCGGAGCCTGTGCTCCGCAACGGGAGAGGCCACAGCAGTGAGAGGCCCGCATAACGGAAAAAAAAAAAAAAAAAAAAAATTATAAATGCCATCTTTTGGGACTGTCCTGCAGTTCACTGAGATATATTTCTTGTAAAAAAAGACGTCCTGGAACTGGGAGCCAGCCATAGATATCCGGGGCTGGCTGAGCAGCAGTAAGAAGGAACAGCAGGATAGCAGGCACACAGGGCAGTCAAAGGTGGCCTTGGTAGGTGACCTGTCCCCACAGCAGGGTAGACAACCCCACATGGGCTTGCTGTACAGAGATTGCTTATTATCTGTGAGTCTACCAGTCAGATCCTCAGTGTAGCTGTGAGGATCCTTCCTGGTTCTAGTAACTGTGATGACAGTGGCCAGGGTGGGGTGGCTGGAGAACCAGGCCCCATAGAGGGACTTGGTCACTTAGTTCAGCTGGTTGGTTGGCTTCCAGGGCCTAGTTTCAGATATGTATCCCTTTCCCAACCACAGAGCTTTTTCAGGGTCACAGCACAGCGACGGAGGCAAGAGGGTAAGGGTTTGAGAGATTGGAAGATGCTATGCTGCTGGCTTTGAAGATGGAGTAAGGGGCCATGAGCTAAGGAATGCTGGGGGCTTCTAGAAACTGAAGAGGCAAAGAAACAGACATTCCTCTAGAGCCTGCAGTACAGGCCTGCTGATACCTTGATTTTAGTTTAGTGAAACCTGTTTTAGATTTATGACCCCCAGAATTGTAAGATAACACATTTTTTGTTGTTTTAAGCCACTGTATATATGGTAATTTGTTATAGCAGCAATAGGAAATTATTATGCCTTCTATCTGTAGTTTTCTTTTCCTTTGTTGTTTTAAAAATCATGATGCGTGTTGAATGTTGTCAGATTTTTCTACATTTCTGCAGGTGATCATGCTTTTTCTCCTCTATTCTAATTTAGTGAGTTAACACTGACGTTCAATTTTTAAATCAACTTGTATTCCTGGGATAAAGCCGACTTAGTCATAATGTATTATCTTTTTTATACATTGCTGGATTCAATTTGCTAACAGTGTGTTAAAGATTTTTTGTGTCTACATATATGAGGTATATTGGTCTACAGTTTTCTCATAATGTTTTTGTCTTTTTTAGCAAGTTAATTGCTGGCCTCATAAAATGGGTGGGGAAATGTTATCTTCTCTATTTTCTTAAAGAGTTTGTATAAAATTGATATTATTTCTTCTTTAAATGTTTGATAGAACTCACTAGTGAAGCCATCTGGACCCAGAGTTATCTTTCCAGGGAGTTTTTTTTTTTTTTTTGGAAGTTTTAAAATTATGAATTCAATTTCTGCAATAGATATGGGTCTATTCAAATTTTCTATTTCTTGTGTCAGTTTTGGTAATTTGTGTCTTTTAAGGAATTTGTCCATTTCATCTAAGTTGTAGAATGTATTGGCATAAAGTTGTTCACAGTATGCCCGTATCCTTTCAATGTGTGTAGGATCTATAGCGATGTCCCCTCTTCATTCCTGATGTTGGTAATTTGTGTGTGTGTGTGTGTGTGTGTGTGTGTGTGTGTTTCTTTTCCTTTCATCAGTCTAGTTTGAGCTTTGTCAATTTTATCAACCTTTTCAAAGAATCAGCATTTGATTCTTCTCCGTCTTCTATTTATTTTTTTATTTCCTTCCACTTATTCTTTTTCTAGCTTTTTAAAGTAGAAACTTTATTTTATGCCTTCTTTGCTTCAAGTGTAAGATTTAAAGCTAAAAATATACCTTTAAGTCCTGATTTAGCTGAGCTCTCAAAATTTATTTAAATTTATTTATTTAGTTAAAAATATCTTCTAATTTTGCTTACGATTTCTTCTTTGATCCCTGGGTTATTCCCAAGCATCTGGGGATTTTCCATATGTCTTTTTGTTATTAATTCATAATTCTGTGTGGTCAGAAAACATACCTTTAATTATTTCAATCCTTTTACATTTCTGTTTTTACGGCCCAGTCTATAGTCTGCCTTGAATATTCCACGTACTCTTGTTGGGCCCAAGGTTTGTTAATTAAGTCAAATGGGCTGACTGCATTGTTCAACTCTCTATATGCCTGTTGATTTTCTATCCTATCAAGTACTAAGAGAGGAGTGTTGAAATCTCCAATTATAATTATGGACATCTATTTTTTCTGTTAATACTGTTGGCTTTGCTTCTGTATTTTGAATTTCTGTAACTGGGTGCATACAAATTCAGCATATCCTCTTCTCTCTGGTAATACCCTTGGTCTTGAATTCTACTTTTCTGATATTATCACTCCCATTTTCCTATGATTAATGTGTGCATGATACATATTTTTTACTTTTAGCCTGTGTTTTAATATTCAAAGTGTGTTTATCATGTAGTTGGGTCTTGCTTTTTAAAATACAGTTTGAAAATCTCTGCCTTTTAATGGAGTATTTAGACCACTTCCTCAAAGTAAAATCTTCCTAAAACTGAGCACTGCCTGTGGTTTGGGAAAGTCACTCCTGCATTTTGTTGGCATTCCACAGGGAAAGGTTAAGTGACAGGGTCACTGGCTCTTCCTCCAGGTTCTCTGTGCCAGTTTTCTCATCTGTAAACTGGGGATAACTGTACCTACCTCACAGGGTGGTTATGAGAATTAGACAAGACAGTCCATATAAAAAGTGCAAGTAAGCACTCAATAAATGAAAGCTACAGATAGCTTTAAATAATTAGATAGTAATAATAGGTTATTACTGTTATTCCACTAAGCACTCTCTTCCCATTTGGCTTTGATGAAGTGTTAAGAAAAGAATCCCACTTTACAGTTATAAAGAGCACTTGTATGCAGCCTCATCTGCTGAAAACTACTGCTGGAGGCCTGATTTTATATAGTTATATAGTTATGATTTTATATAGTCTTTTCTCTCTATTCATTTTCAACCATGTGCTTTTCCTCTTCTAGCCAGTTATCCTTTTTGTAAATTAAAATTTTCGTTGAAACCTATCAAACTGTACACTTTAAACATATGCATTTTATTTTATATAAATTTATATATACCTCAATAAAGTTGATTTTAAAAACTAAAACAGGGAGTTCCCTGGTGGCCTAGTGGTTAGGGTTCTGGGCTTTCACTGCCGAGGCCCGGGTTCAATCCTGGTCTGGGAACTGAGATCCCACAAGCCACGCAGCACAGCCAAAAAAAAAAAAAAAAAACAACTAAAAACTGGAAAAATTCTGTCACTTGCATCAGTGAACATAATATTCATGTATAGGTTTAAGACTAGCAACAGGGACTTCCCTGGCGGTCCAAGTGGTTAAGACTGTGCTTTCACTGCAGGGAGTGTGGGTTTGATCCCTGGTTGGGGAACTAAGATCCCAAATGCCGTGTGGCACAGCCAAAATAAAAAAGACTAATAATAAAACCAACATCCATATGCCCACTTACCAGCTTAAGAAATTGTGCAACAGTCCCTTTGAAGCCCTTTGCCTGCTTCACTGTGTTAATCAGTTACTTTTCTTCATGGTTTTTTCCTTTCCTGGTTGTGCCAGGTCTTAGTTGCGGCAGGTGGGTTCCTTAGTTGCGGCAGGTGGGTTCCTTAGTTGCGGCAGGTGGGCTCCTTAGTTGCAGCTCACCAGTTCCTTTTAGTTGCGGCACACGTGCTCCTTAGCTGTGGCACGCAAACTCTTAGTTGTGGCATGCATGTGGGATCTAGTTCCCTGACCGGGGACTGAACCCGCTTCCCCCGCATTGGAAGGCGGATTCTTAACCATTGTGCCACCAGGGAAGTCCCTTCTTCATAGTTTTGCCATAGATGCATCCCTATGCAGTAGTCTTGGCTGCCTCTGAACTTTATTTAAATAGAATCATACTGAACGTATGCTTCTGTGACTTGCTGTTTCTGCTCATTATTTTAAACATTTATCTATGCTTACGTGTGTAGTAGTTATTAACTTTTACGGCTGAATCGTGTTACATTCTAGAATCTACCATTCTCTCGAGTCCATATGGGCTGTTTGCAGTTTTGGGCTTTTCTGAACAATGCTGCTATGAATACTTTTGTTCATGTATTTGCAAGGCATCATGCTGGGATGGAACGGCTGGGTTGTGAGGTATGAGCATGTTCAACTCGACTAGTTAATGCCAACTGTTTCCAAAGTGGCTTATACAACTTATCTTTCCACCAGCAGGGTAAGAATTCCTTTCTCCACATCCCTGCTGACATCTACTGACACTTTTTTTTTTGTGGTACGCGGGCCTCTCACTGTTGTGGCCTCTCCCGTTGCGGAGCACAGGATCTGGACGCGCAGGCCCAGCGGCCATGGCTCACAGGCCCAGCCGCTCCGCGGCATGTGGGATCTTCCCGGGCCGGGGCACGAACCCGCGTCCCCCGCATCAGCAGACGGACTCTCAACCACTGCGCCACCAGGGAAGCCCTACTGACACATTTTCACCTCCTAACACTTCTGCCCACTTGAGCCTTTTAATAACAGCCAACACTTAATGCTCACTTAAACTGTGGCAGGCCCTGTTCTGAGCCCTGTGTGCATGACCTTGTTTCCTCCTCACGAGAGCCCTAGCTATGGTAAGTGTGTTGTCATTTATGAGCAAGAGAGCAAGTCTTTGTCCCTCCCTTCCCCCTTCCCTCGTTTGGGCCCAGTGCCCACTCTCTGTGGCCATTTCATGTCTTCTTTCTCCCATCCTGGGCTGGGCTTGGTCCCAGCATGGCCTTAATCCCACCCCGGACCCTTTCCTTCTCAGGCTGTTACTCCCTGTCGGTCCGCCTCAGCCGCCCTACATCCTGCGACCGGATCAGACACTACAAGATCCAACGCCTTGACAATGGCTGGCTGTACATCTCACCACGCCTCACCTTCCCCTCACTCCAGGCCCTGGTGGACTATTACTCTGGTATGGCCATCCCCTACCTCCATGAGAGCAGACTGGGATGTGGGTCTGTGGGGAAGATAGTCATACCCTCAGACACTTTGCCTGCTGGAGAATATCTAGGCAGAAGAGGGACCTCCCCTCTCTCCGTGCCAGTCCCTGTGCCAAGAAACACAGCCCGGAAGCCCCAAGTTCATCTCGTGCCAAAAGAGCCACGGAGGTGTCCCGTGTTAGTGCAGGCCAGTGCCTCACCCACCACTGTGGCTCTGAGTCAAAGTCCCCAATGGCTGGCACAGTTCTCTCCACAGGAACAAGGCCCAGAGCTGTTGTTATTGTGGAATTCAGTTGATTCTCAGCATTTTCTGGTGCCTGTTCTGTAACAGGCACTGCAGCCACTACAGCAGAGTGTCAGAGAAGCAGAGAGGAAGGCCTACTACTGGGAAAACTGATTGGGGGATTTCAGGACAGTCATTCCATGCAGCAGATACTGACAGAACACGTAGAGACTGATCATCCCTTAGATTTCTTCCTTCCAAAGTGCTTTTCTAACCAGAAACTGGGGCTCAAAGAGGTCCATCAACTTACCCGAAATCACACGGTAAATTAAGTCTCCCGAAACCTAGCCCAGAATGACCTTTGACTGCATGTCAGCTTCCAGATTAACAGCCTGGGGCTCATGCTCCCACCTGCCAAGTGCGGAAAGCTGTCAGGGTGAGGGTGGAGTTGTTGGGGAGGAAGGCAGGGCTGGGGCCAGCCATGTCAAGGGTCTAGGTCTCTTCCTCAGAGCTGGCGGATGACATCTGCTGCCTACTCAAGGAGCCCTGTGCCCTGCGGAGGGCCGGCCCACCCCCTGGCAAGTCCATACCTCTACCTGTGACTGTGCAGAGGACACCACTCAATTGGAAAGAGCTGGACAGGTGAGAAGCCCCTGGAACGTGAAGGAAGAACAAAGGAGACTTAGAAGGACCCACCCCTCGGAACCCAGAATGGGCTTGTCACCTTCAGGGACACCTGGGAGCCAATAAGCGTTGACTGAACTCAGGCCAGCCCAGGCTCAGCAGGTCTGCTGGGGGGACTAGCAGGGAGGCCAAAGTGGGCATGGATATGGGGCATGCCTGGGCACCAAGGTGGCCAGGATGGAAGGTCAGACAAGATGGGGTGCAACAGAGAGCACCAGTCCTGAGTGAAGTGAAGGGGAGTTTGATCTGACTAGGGAACCGCTGTGAGTTTTTCAGCAGGTTTTGAGAACAGGGAACCATGTGGGAGGTGCATGGAGGAGGGTGAGGCTCCCTGATGCAACTCCTTCCCCCTCTCCCCA